CTAAAAACAAATCAATAACCACAGCTAAAGTTCTACTGACATGATTTCTAATAAACAGAAAGACATACAAATGCCTTTGATAAAAACAATGTTGCTTTTCACAACTTTCTAAAAATCATCAGGGCACCGCTGAAAAAGCTCTACAACAAGCTGTGGTGGATTTCACCAACCAACCTGAGCAAAGGGGACAGAGTGACAAACAACAATGGCCCTTGGAATGAAAGTGCTCCCTTCATAGGTTTGGTGTTTGGGAGAGTTGGACCTTCAGTTATGCAGGGTTTTACAGGTAAGAATTGGCACCTTGAACTGAACTCGGAAGAAGGCAGACCATCAGCACAGACTTCTTACAATGCATTATTAATAGCTTGTTCCTGATCATAAGCAAGAAGCGGTATTTGGGACCAGTTGAGTTTTCTGAGTTGTCAAGAATGGCCCTATGCAGAGGCCATTACAATAGCCCAGCGTTTTTTTACCACAGTATAGATCACTGTAGATAGCTAGGTCGGGCAATGTTCCTTCTAAGCTGTGGAGTCTTGTGAGCAAAAATTCTACTTGGTGAGCTACTGGCATTAAAGTTGTGAGCGAGCGATTTGGCCGCTGCATAAATTAGTTTGCCCTGGAGCCATCCTTCCTGAGCTAAGACAAAAATCTGTGAGCCTGAGGCTAAAAAGCTGTGAGCTAGCTCACACTAACTCAGCTCAGAGGGAACACTGGCTCTGACCCAGATAGCGCAGGCTAGCCTGATCTCATCAGATCTCAAAAGCTCAGCAGGGTCAGTCCTGGTTAGTATTTGGATGAGAGACCAACAAGGAATACCAGGGTTGCAACACAGAGGCAGGCAATGGCAACTTACCTCCGAGCATCTCCTGCCTTGAAAACATCACGGGGTCACCATAATGGCAAATGACTTGATGGCAAAGAGGGGGAAAAAGTTACATCAGCCTCTTCATAACTGCCATACTAGATAGAGTGGAAAGGCAGCTCATTTGGTCACCATCTCCACCTGTTTCTCAAACAAAAGACCCAGAAAACTATGCTAGGGATCATTGCAGACAAAAACAAATAATCTGCACTGAGGAAAATCACACAAGATTGGCCCCCTCCCTCTTATGCCAGCAGAAAAGCTGGTAGCATTCCAAGTGTCACAAACTTACAAGTAGCCCTTGGCCACACTGCATATAGTAAAGGCTTGGAACGCATGATCACATTTCTCCCAAATACAAAACAGACAAGAGCGCATTGCTTGGAAAATGCTCTGTCACCTTGACATGAGTGCTCCCTACGGAGTGCATGCTACAAATGGGAAAACAAAAGCATATTGATTTTTCAAAAGAAAAAAAATCTGCATTTTATGCAGCCACAGACAATGTGTGCTATCTTGCAAATTGTTGGTTTAGAAGGCTTTTTAAAAGGAGCAGACAAATTTATGGCAGGTTGGTCTATCCTTGGCTACTGGCCATGATAGCTATGCATTCCAGGACTGAGGAAGGCCACTACTTGCATGCCCTGTTTGCCAGCTCCTGGAAGAATCAGGTTGAGCACAACTGAGCTGCTTCTTTGTGATGATTCACAATCTAGTTGTCATAACTGCTGCAAATGTCAACAGAACATCCACACGGAAATTTTCCATGCACTTTTCTTACCTGTGGCTGCCATACGTTCTGAACACTAGAAAACTTTCCAAAAATCAGTAACTGAGAGATCCCTGTAGCATTATTATGACCTAATGCCACAATCTGCTGGTTCTCAGATTTAATTTGGGGGGGGGGGGTTTGGAGTTATCTGGCCCTTTTCCTTGTGGAGCTATAAGGTGAAATGTACAAAATACAGTTTTTTCTAAGTAACTCCACAGGAAAATGTGTTAGAGACTTCCTTTTATAAAAAGCTAGCAGCCAGCAGATTTTAGCACTAGACCATTATAAAAATGCAGCTGTACAGTAATAAGTCAATTACTGATTTTTTTTAAAAAGAACTCCCCCAACCAACAAAACTCTGCAGCAGGGCTTGATATGGCAGAGAAACAGGATGAACAGAAGACAAAACCATGTCAGATGCTCCACAGCTCTGCCGTAATGAAGCCAAGGAGACACAAAACATCCTTGCAGAAACAGCACTGGAAACGTAATGTTGGATTCAATGGGCCCTGGTCTGATCTGACAGGCCAGCTCTTATTAACTATGGTCAGGTAAAGAGGTTAAGTAGATCAGGGTCAGAGCCAGCATGGTAAAATGACTCGAGGGTTGGGTTCGGTTCTGGGAGACTCAGGTCTGAACCCTCACTCTGCCAGGGAAGGTCACTCTCTCTCGGCCTAATGCACCTCATATAGTTGTTGCGAAGATAAACATGGAGGAGGGGGAGAATGACATTGTAATCCTACCCAAAAGCAAGACCCATTTTAGTCAATGGAACTTACTACAGAAAGGAGTTCTTAGGTTTGCATCCTCAGGGTCCCCATCGAAGAGAAAAGCAAGGTATAAATATATGAACGAACAAACATCATTGAGAGTTGGCTCAAAGAGTCCCAAATTGGGGGGGACGGGGACTAAATCCATTCTTTCACATAGTAACTTTTTATTACACTTGAGAATGTGCTAATTCACAAATCCAAGATGGGAAGATGTGCTAATTAAAAGCCTTCTTTTATAAAATGTATAATTCAAGTGTCAAATGGACCCGAACAACAGATATGAAAAAGAAGTGCAATTACTATGCAGCAGGATTTTAAAACTACCCTGAAAATGATGATATTAAGTAGCAGAACAAAACTTGAATGCTTAATTTTTAAAAACTGGAAGTTGCCGCATCTGTTTCCCAGTGCTCAGCAAATGGAGTGGAAATGATTGCTGATATTTCCACTGCCACTCCCATCCCAGTTTACTGGATGCAGGGCTTTGAAGAATTTGGGGGAAAATGGTTATCCAATTTTGCATTAAGTTGGAATGCCAGGTTGGGATCCAGCCACATCTCTCTATATTTATGTAGGTATGAACGTACAGTTGCAGGCTCATGTTTTTCAACCAGCATTTTGCTGCACCACCCACAGGGTAAAGCAGGTGATTTTTAAATTTATTTACAAACTCTGGAATTTTGCTGATTCCTGCAGGTCAAGATGCTGCTAAATAAAACAGCAGATCAGGCCGATCCTTCCCCCACATCAGTTGGCAATCCTAGTTGTATATTTTATAGATGAATGCAGAACGATTGTGGCTGCAAGCAACTGCGGGAAGATTAGGGGGTTGCAATTCCCTCCACTCGCCTGCAGTTCTTGCCGTTCCCCATCCCATCCCGCTCCAGGCTGGACCTCCCTTCTTGACAAGGAAATCCCCTCGCCCTCGCAACCAATGACTAGCTTAATCCGCCTCGGAGGCTTCACAGCTGGCGCATTACCCACGTGCGCTCTGCGGCGCGTACTTCTCGCTATGTAAACAAGAGGGCGGGCTTAGGCTAAACCAGACTCCGCCCCTTCTCGAAAGTGAAGGGGACTCCCACGCCGGCTCCAGAAGAGCACCGCCGAGGGAATCCGCGGCTGACGAGTGATCAACTTCTTTGCCCGAGATCTCTCTTTCCACGGAGGGAAGGGGGGCAGGGGAGAGTGAGCCAGTGCGCGATCGACGCTGCGCTCAGCCCCGTCCCGTTGGATCCTGCAGGCAGCAGCATATCTCCCCTTTCCCACCGCTGCTTTGCAGAGCTCTGCTCAGATCCACGAAGACTCTCGGTGAGTGCGCAGCGAACGCCGCTGCCGGTCTCCGGCTTGCATTGGACGTCTGGGCACCCACGTGCGAAGCGATCTGTAGCCGCCAAGGAGCACCGGAACGGTCTTGCTTTTTCGCCCCTTCTCTTCGCTGGGGCTCGAGGCCATCGCTGTGGAGTTTGCAGCGATCGGCTGACTTGCCTTCCGGGCTGGGTAGCGACTCATCCTAGCGCGGCGGGGAGAAGGGACAAGAGGTCTCTTTCGCCCGAGTGGCCGGCTCTCCCCGGAGGCTTGATTGCAACTGTCTTGGCAAGGTCACCCGAGAAGGGAACTGCCGGCGCCTTTTTTGCGTGCGTGCCGGCGCTGTTCTTTTTGGGCTCACCGCGGTGTGCGCCGTTTCCTTGCAACCGTAGAGGGAACAGGACTCCGTCGTGACGCGATGGCCTAGGGCAGGCAGCGAGGCAGAGCGCTCTCGCCTCGCCGAAGTTGCGCTTTTGCAGCGGCGCCGACCCGCCACCCGCTCCCTCCCTCCCTTCCTCCCGCTGCAGCCTCTCGCCTAGATTGGAGGGGAAGGGGAATCAATCCTCTTGGCAGGTCTTCGGAAGGGTCCCGGTCGGGGCGGCTTCCCCTCTTTCCGTCGTCCTCCCCGGCCCATGACAGCGCGGCGGCGGGTTGATCCCGCAGAACTGGCCAGCCGGGGCGCCCTGCCGGCTCCATGAGGAAGCGCCCCTCCGGCTCCCGGGCGAAGGAGGAAGAGACGCCAGCCGGGATGATGAGCGTCAGGGCTGCACGGAGCAGCTGTCCCCCGGCTTGGCGCGGCGCTGCTCCGACCGGGACTAAGGCGGCGGCGGCAGCTGCATGACCCGATGCGTTTTTCGGCGCAGCGCGGAGGTCTGATCGCGCAGCGGGGCAGAGACTGAGCAAGCCAAGTTGTGGCCGAGTCGTTTGGCTCCGGGGTCGGGCGAACTGGCCTGGAGCTGAGTCCCGTCGCCAGCAGCATGCCCGCGGGAGAACTGCCTCTTGGCCACGAGGGATCTTCCCCCTAAGGGGGGAGCCAGCCCTCCCTCCCTCTCTCCGCCCGCCTGTCCGGGTCATGACCGAAGCTGTGGGGGGCGGCTTCAAAAGTTTGCCAAACACCTTCGAGGTGGCGTTTTCCTTTGCCGAGGATCCTTAAGAGGAGAGAGGGAGGGGGAGGGATCGGGCGAGGCGTCGGCTTCCAAGCATGGGAGACAGGCTGCCGGAGCAAACTCGTGTCAACCCTTCTCCTGCCGTGGCCGCATCTTCTGAAGCAGAAGCGATCGAGGTGCTGGAAACAGAGGATGTCTTGCCCATGTCTACGGAGGACGTGAGTTGCCTTTGATGGTTTTTTCCCCCCCCCCTTCCTTTCCTGGTTGATTTTAATCGGATCAAAGTTGTTTAAAAATAAACTTTAGTATTAAGCGGGGGCGGGGGGGAGCAGTGGATTCTTTATAGGAAGAGGAAGTCCCAAGAAAAAGTATTCATGCCTAGAGGTGCCCTTGGCGTCCCTCTGCGGGACGATCTCGATAGATCAAGATGGGTAGCTGGGTTAATCTGTCTGTAGCGGTAGGAAAGAGGAAGAGTGCAGTGGCAGCCTTAACGACTAGCAACATTTGTGGCAGGGGGTGAGCTTTGGTGAGTCAGGGCTGACTTCTTCAGATCCTGTGTGCCTTTACTTGGAAGTCAGCCTCAGTGAGTTTTACTGTAGTTGAAGGATTCCCAAGAGAAGTTTTTTAATGGGTTCACAAGGTGGCACAAACAATTATGGAGCTGCAATGAGGACTGCAACTTTATTGCCAGTTTAATTATTCCTCTGTTTAACCACTGATAAAATCACCATGGTAATAGATGATGCTATTCCAGGGCTGCCCGTCTTAATCAGTCTTCCCTGGTTTGTACATATTTTATGTTCCCAAAGCCAAATTGAAGACCTGTTCCCAACTGAGACAGCTCAGCAAGCTATTTTTAAAAAAGAGAGACTAAGATCTGTTTTTCTCGAAATTCTCGGGATTATTTTATGTTCCCAAAGCCAAATTGAAGATCTGTCCCCAACTGAGACAGCTCAGCAAGCTATTTAAAAAAAAAAGAGAGACTAAATGATCTGTTTTTCTCGGGACTAGCCCATTCAGACAAGTGGTCAGCACTAAGGTACCAGAGGCTAGCCCACCACTGACTGGGCTGCATTCACACACTCAGGGCAGGAACTGCTTGATGTCCTATGTGGGAAACTGAGAAACGGAATGAAAAATAATGGGAAGGAACCTTACCAGGGCTAATATTATGGGGGTGTGCTGGTCCCATTTACAGCTGCTTGGTCAGTGATGAAGCTCCCTAGGTGACCTTGGGCCAGTTGCAGTTTCTGAGTCTAGCCAACCTTACCGTTATTACAAAGATCATTTTTTAAAAAAAGATAATTCCCCTGGGCTCCTTGGAGCAAAGGATTTGAGTGAAATGCAGAACAGCTCATGAAATGTACTACAGTGAATGTTGCAGTTTCTGAGTCTAGCCAACCTTACCATTATTACGAAGATCATTTTTTAAAAAGATAATTCCCCTGGGCTCCTTGGGGCAAAGGATTTGATTGAAATGCAGAACAGCTCATGTGATGTACTACAGTGAATGTGGGGGGGGATGTTTGCTACCACTTAGGTGCTAGGTAGTTGACAACAGCACATCTATTGCTGACTACCTCCTGCTGTAGAAAAATGACTTGCTGCCATTTACTGCAGTGATCCCTAGCTTACCACCCACAATTATGTCTAAGCACTCACTTCTTTGGGATGCGGTCTTTGGACACATGGGAGGGATTTAGCAGGAAGACGCAATGTAATCTGCAGTAACCAGGTCTTAAATTTGGACAGTCCAAATTTCAGTGTTCTGCACTCCTGGTATCTCCCAGACCCTTTGCATCCCCAGAATACTGTCCCAGTCAGCACTGCAGAATTCTTTTGTATTTGTATGGCTGGCTGGCATTCCCCACATGCTTAACCTTCAGTAATTTTTAAATTGCTGGCACTGTTGTGATCTCTGTGATAATAAAACAAATGACAGGGGGATTTCAAAGGCATTACCGCTTTCCCCCACTATTGTCAGGCAGTTTTGCAACAGAGTCCCGGGGCTGGTAATCCCATCGCCTGTTCTGGGATGTAACCAAATGTACTTTCCTTTTCAATAAGTGTGTACACACTGCTTTAAAAGTGAGCCCGCAGCCTGCTAAGCAGCCTAACTTTTCTGGTAAGCCTTAATCTCCTAAAGATGCTTAAACAGTGAACCTTATTAGTTAACCCAGCATAGCATCTCTTTCTGGAGGAATACTTCAGCCCCATCCGTCTGCTTTGGGGGGAAGATTTAGGGATGCTTGTGTGTGTCCTTCTTAACCCGTAGCTACTGGTGAGATTAATAACTAAATGCCAACAAGTGCCTGGGACTGGAAGATGGTGTGCTTCTGCCGGCGAAGCGCTTTTTCAGCAAAAAGCCTGTTTAGGACTAGGAGCGATTCCCTGGGTATGCCGCCTGCCGGACTTCTAATGTAGGCAAAAGCAGCCCAACTATTCACGGCACCAAGTCTCGCCAAACATCTTAAGAGATCGGGTGTCGTGATTCATAAATGCTTCAGCGCTTGCAGCAAAAACTTACAATTTCTCAGTAACTTCTTAATAGAATTAGAGGGATTAGAAGGCACCTAATGAGCATATAAATCTCATATTTCCCCCCCCAACTGTGTTGTTAAGCTCCCCCAGAATCCTCATCTGAAGCCCCTCAGTGACAAGATTGGTGATGGCAGACAGACTTCTATGAAAGATCAGCTCTTCCACTGTTGCTGATACACTCCAGTGTGCAGCCATTGCGGGGAGGGGGCAAATTGGAAGGTGCCATCTCAGTTCCTTTGGGGTTGTGATGAGGCCCAAAGAGCCTGGTGGACACCCCTGCAAGCTCACTGTACAGCCTCAAATACTCCCAGAATCCTTTGCAACACATACAGAGGTTCCACAGCAGAGGACCTGATCCCAGATGGTCCGTGGCCATTTCACAGAGCTACAGTCCCCATGTTTCTTTTGTTGGGAGCCACAGCTGATTTTGTAGGCTTGAAACTGGCTTAAATGTGTAGAGTCTAGTTGTGCCCTGAGGTTTCTCGGGTTTGCCAAGCTCAAATATTAGAGCTTTCGTGGTGGAGATGTGGCACAAAATCAGTTGTCGTACCCTGACATCAGACACGTTTCCTCCTGGATTTTCTAAAAACCTCTCCAACTCTGAGGGAAAGACAATTGTCCTTCCTCATATCTCTCCGCCTCTTATCCCTGAATCTTTTGTGGTCCATACTGATGTGACGCTGAGTTCCAAGACCAAGGTGCCCTTTGCCATCTGGATGGTGGTAAGTGGAGCTCTTGGCTGTCACCAGGTCGCTAGTGGCTAGTTTGCATGGTGATGTTCTGTGTTGTCTGTTTCCTAGTTTAGCGCCAAAGCTTTAGCAGTAGTATGACCAACAAAGCCCAAGGAGTTTTTTTCTGGGAGACTTTCCACACCTTGGGTGAACAGGAATCTGGTCCTATGACCCATACCTTGGCTTGGGTGTATTGGGTTGCTTGGCTGGGTCCTTAAAAAAATTGCTGATGTGTTCTGTTAGTGATGGAATTAGTTAGTGGCATGGTGCCAAAGAATGGGTAGAAAATCCGCTTGTTGTTTCTTGCCTGCTTCCTATCCATGCATCCCGTTACTTCCTGCTTTATAGAACCATAGAGTTGGAAGGAACCAAAGTTCATCTACTCCAACCTGCTGCCCAATGGCAAGGCCGTCAACACACCAAGCCCCCACAGAACAACCTTTGCTGTCCAGAACACAGTGTGACACAAGCAGAGGGCAGAAGCACACCAGAAAGGTATGTGCAGAAGCAAGTAGCTGTAGGTGGCTCAGGCAAGTGAGTCAAGCCGCATGTTGCAGTAGAAAGTAGCTAGTCCTCTTCTCCCTTTGGTAACTATCTAGTCAATGTGACCTTTGGCGAAACTTCTTCTTGCTTCCACACATGGCAGTACATATGATTAGTGATGTGTGCGTATTTACACAGTGAGTGGGAAACGTGACAGTCTGGGTCACAGGAACACGAGGAAAGCCTTGCTGGATTAGACCATCCAGTTTCCAAAAGTGGTCAGCCAGGTGCCTCTGGGAAACCCACAAAGGCAGCAGCCTGTCTTGGCTGTATTTCTCCACTGGTATTTTGAGGCACACTGCTGCTCCTCAGAGGGGGTTATAAGAATATACAGAGTTCTCTTGTGGGGAGTCAGGAGGAAATCTGTGGCAGGATTTACTGCTAAGGCTGCATCATGTGGCAGTGCGAGGCGGTTTCCTCTTGTGGGGTGGGAAGCCTTCTGCCCAAAGCAAGTGTGGTGAGGGCCTCTGTACACCTTTCTACAGGGGCCCCCATTCACCCTCAGTGGTAATCTCTGTTGTGGATTGGTGTCAGCGCTGGACTATAGGAATACAAGCACACAGTGGGGAGGTAGAAGTAAGACTCTGATTGGGGCCTGGGGCAGATCCACAGAAGCAATAATCCAGTAGCAGAACTGTTTGCAAGCGGAGGAGTCTATGGCCCAAAACAGATGTGCTCTGGGAGTTCTGTGTTGAAAGCCTCCAGTGACTTAAAAGACAATACCAATGCAACCCTTAATTCTCAAGTCTGTAGGGGTTCCAGACACCATACAGCCCACATTTGGTTTGTCCCTGTTTGAGGAGGTGGGGGGGGGAAACTGGGGTGAGGATACTAGCAGAAGGTCAAATAAGTGGACAGATGAGTTGGCAGATGGCAAAGGGGAAGCAGGTAAGTAAAAAGACAGAAATAGCAAGTGACAGTGCTTGAGAAAAGAAGGAACTATGGGAGCAAGGCTGGAGTCCAGCTATTCGCCATGCAGAGAACTAGGCCTGACCTAGGACTACCTATGCTGAGACCAGGTGAGGAGAAACCTGTGAACTGCTTGGGGTGGGAGGGGATCCATTCTGTGAGGGGACCTGGAAGGACAATGCTGGCCCCTTCTTGAATGGTGCCACTGGAGCAGCCTGTAGGTGCCTGATCTGCATCCTTGCTGATCCTGCCAGCCTGGTTATTTGCTTGGATTGTAAGCTGTTTGTTTTGCCTTGTGTGCTGCACATCCACACAGAGACCAAGGATCTAAGCTTACCAGGAATGTAGTGTTGGGGAAGGGAGACTTATACAAAACCGCAAGGGAAAGTATCAGATTCCTCACAGCTCTGACCCATCCTTATTATTTTAAATGTAATTGTCTTGCTGGATTTCTTTCCCGGAGAGAAATAATAAACCTAGCATTATTACCTGGGAAAGCTGTGTTTAACAATACATGTAATTAGAGGAGAGAAGCCACATTTAATATTACACAAGAGACCGGAACCAATATTTCAGAAGCAAACAGGCTTTTAAACTTCCATAATTATAGCTCCCCAAATGTCTAGCCTAGTCTTGCTTTTTTTTAACTCCTTGTTGTGCCAGTAAGAGTGGGTATGTCTCCCTTCTGCTGTAAAGCAGTTAAAAGTAAGTGCTTGCCCTTTAAGCTGCTACAGCCAGTGTAGATTAGGGTACTGGCAGCTTGATTCTACAGAGTTCTCAGCAGTTAGATTTGCTGGCAAACCAGAAAATAAATGGCCACGGCTGTTGCTGTGCTTCTGAACTACAGCTTGATTTGAAGAAATCAGCAGAGGAAACTTTTCAAGGCATGAAGATGGCATTATCGTTGGCTCATGTCTGCAGATAAGGCAGCAGTTAAATGCTCAGCCACAGTGACAGGTTAGCAGCTATTCAGCCTAGCTCAGCATCTTCCTTCCTTTTCCACAAGCATTTAATGGGTACAATCCAGTGACAGTTCAGTAGTTCGAAGGGACCCTAAAGACCAATTCACATAATAATGGTTTTATCAAAGGGCTTAGTCTGTATCAGGGCTTGTGAAGGAAGAATAATAATGAAGAGAGTGTGTTTGAACACGAGCAGAACATTTTTTTTTACTCAATACCCATCACTAGCCCATATCTGGAATTATGGGGAAGAGTGTTGGGGTTACGGGCTTGGAACCTATGTAGCACATCTGGAATATTTTAGTTAAGAGTTTTGTTGCCCTGTTGCACTAGAGGAATCACTTGGGTGAGTGGTATTTATTGTACAAACACTAATACTGCAGAACAATGAATTCTTGGTTCATAGGTAGCACTTCCACTTGCGTTGTTGGATGTACAACCACAAATCTAGCTGAGGCTACAAAGCCAAGGAATTATTTGTGGTGCATGAAAAATAAACTTCCGTGTGTCCAGTGAGTGATGCGTTACTGGAAAAGCTGCTTAGGACTCTGGCCATAATTTTTTATAGCAGCTTCTTTCTAATCCTAAACTGAGGCTGGACTATGTGTTATGTTTCCCCCCCTGTGGAAAGGTGTGTTTTGAAGTTCTGTGTTTCCCAGGTAATGCTGAGCCCTGATTTGGATCCCCCCCCTGCATTGTTTTCCTGACCTGAAGCAACCCTGAAGGGGTGCTTTGCCCCCTTGGGGGCTGCACATCTGCCAATGAGCTACACATTGCATTTCCACAACTGTGCATCTCCCCTCCCCCCCGGAGCCGTTTCAGGTCAGTCAGATGGTGCAGGGGGAAGAACTAAATCTCCTTTCCCCATGTGCTGTGGTTCTAATCCGGACCAGGCTCGTGTACATGTGGGAACTTCAGAACATACATCCCTGGGAAAAACATGTGCACTGGGTTAGCCTGCTGGTCCCTCCAACACATTTGTTATTTCCTCCAAGTGGCAGTGGCTGTCCAAGATCTCAGCCAGAGAGAATTTTTTCCCCCTCAGTCCTGCTGCCTGAGATCCTTCTAAATTGGAAGTGTTGGGAATTGATCATGGGGCATGCTGCATGCAAAACTGGAGCATGTTCATATTTCCCCTCAGTAGTTTGCATCTGTTCTGATTCTCAGTAGCCAACCAAAAGATAATATTTTGTACATGGTGTGTCAGACATCTCAGATGACTAGCAAATTCTGATTTCATTGGTAACTCAGCATAAAATCAGGTGTTTCCTGGCTTACTATATGACATTTCTGCCATGAGTCCAAGGAGATCAGGCAGGGTGGAAATGTGTAAAATATGAAATCTGGAGTCATGAAGCCAGGATGCTAATAGTAAGATCCGGGCATTTTACTCCCTGTTCCACTGTGGTGGCTCTGCAGAGAAAGGGGTGGTTGCTTCCTGTCTGCAGCACTGGCGCCACTACTGTTGGGAAGAAGAAGAAGCAGAGATTGGATTTATACCCCGCCCTTCACTCGGAGTCTCAGAGCGGTTTACAAACTCCTTTCCCTTCCCCTCCCCACAACAGACACCCTGTGAGGTGGGTGGGGCCAAGAGAACTGACGCAAACTGTTCTTTCAGGAACAGCTGTGCCAGAGCTTGTGACTGCCCCAAGGTCACATCAGCAGGTGCAAGTGGAGGAGTGGGGAATCAAACCCAGTTCTCCCAGATTAGAGTCCGCACACTTAACCACTACACCAAACTGGCTCTAAGTGGTATTGCAGCTGCAAGCTCAGTGTAGAACAGGTGGTACAAAGGGCCAGTTAGGGTTCAGTCCTGGGAAGCTTATGACTTTGGTCTGATGCCTTCGATTGAGCGGCTGTCAAGCTGCTTGTCTCTGCTTGCTTATGGACTGGCTTGACGGCTTGATTGCATGTCTGCTTTCTGGCTCAACTGCTTGCATAACTCTCGATAATTATTTTAAATGTGTTAATTGTGTTTCTGGAGGGTTATCCAAGTGTATGTCAGTGCCGTAGAGTGAGAAGGCACAGGCATTCTAAGGAAGACAAAGGCATGCCTGCTTAAGTCCAGGCATACGATGTTTATGAGAGTGCTTCTGTGATATTCACCCCACCATTTTTCTGGATTTTAATTTGAAGACTTAAAGTACCATTGCTTGTCAAGCAGTGACTTGTGGGAGAGCAGCCATGGTAAGAAACAAAAATAGTCTTTAAAGTTGCAGAGGAAAGGCTTTTCAGCCAGAAGTTTAGCAGATAGGAAGGGAGCATTATCTGGAATGCCACGAAACAAAGCCGGGACTGAACATTAACTCCAAGGCTCTGGCCAGCTTTACAATGACAACTGGGAGTTTTTATACAAATGAATATTCATTCAGGCAAGAATTTGTTTGTTTCTGTAGGATTCCAGGGAGTTAATTCTTAAGCCATGTTATTTATTTATTATTCTTCAGATTTTTACCCCGCTCTCCCAGCCGAAGCCAGCTCAGTTAAAGTTTCTTCAGATAGTTTGCTGAATTGTGTCTTCTGTGCATATTGAAATTTGGTGGCTTGATGATGGCAATAGATGCCCTTCTGTACCGGGAGGTTATCTTGAACAGGCAAAGCACTGTTCTGTCAAAAAGCTGATGCAAGTCTTATCTTTATGCCTCTCCTCTTTTCAACCTGGGCCTTTTTATTATCTTTCCTCTGACATCTCCAGCATTCATGGGTTGGATCCAACCAGCTCTCCTGCTGATGAAGAAGGAAAGAAGAAAATAGTTATCCTTGGGATCATTAGGTTGGCACGTACGAAAGCCATATGGGTTGGGGGCTATAGTAAGGAGGGGAATTGGGCAACATTGAGTGGAAAAGCTGTTTGGATCCAGCCCCAGGTATGTATGCAAAACAGCAACACATTGGAGGACCAGGCAAATCAGGAGATCTATTCCAATGCTAGAGTCCTTTTTATAAAAGGACTCACATAGGGGTGAGAGGTGGCTCAGCAGCTCATCTCTTTTAAAATGCATATCTTACATCTTCCGTAAGTATAGGGCAGGTTACAATATGATTTTAAAATAGATCAGTGTAAATCAACTGTAGGTAAACTGTGCAAATTGTAAGGCTGGCAGCCTTATAGGGCCCAAAAAGTCTTCAAACACAAAAGTTTTATATATCCTCAAAAAGAGAGCAGTGAGGCAGATTTCCACTCCTGCCCTGGCAGACTGTTTCAGAGGAGGGGAGCAGCAGATGAAAATCATCATGCCCTTGTGTCCGACGTACAGATCTGTCTAAGTGAGGGCACAGCAAGCTGTTTCTGCTGAGCGAAGCAAAGATGGCACAGGGGGTTATACCAGGAGAGGTGATCCTTTAAGTATGTAGATATCAGGCCATAAAGGACTTTCAAGGTAAGAACCAACACTCTGCATGTGTTATACACTCTTGGGCATACACGTGCATACATTCCTTATGTGTAAACACCATGCCTGCATAAACCTTCTGTGTTTTTGTGGCCAGGGAATCATGTGAACAAGGTGTACACTCTATTTATATATGTGTGATTGGGGGTTGCTTAAGCTTGCCCGTGTGCCCCTCCCAGCATGATGACTAAGATGTGAACTAGCCCAAAGCGATTATGTATGGATTCTTGTTTACAGTTTTATTAAAGGTAAAGGTTCCCTTGCTCGAAAGCCAGTCAAATCCGACTCTAGAGTTGCAGTGCTCATCTCTGTTTCAAAGCCAAAGAGCCAGCACTGTCCAAAGACGTTTCCGTGGTCATGTGGCCGGCATGACTAAACACCAAGGTGCACGGAACGCTGTTACCTTCCCACTGAAGTGGTACCTATTTATCTACTTGCAATCCCTTGCTTTCGAACTGCTAGGTTGGCAGGAGATGGAACTAGAGATGGGAGCTCACTCCGTCATGCAGCACACTTGGGTCTCGAACTGCTGAACTACTGACCTTCCACAGCCTTGCAGTTCAGCATATTAACCACTTGAGCCACCGCAGCTCTATACAGTTTTATTACCTAGGAGCAATAGATGGACAGTGTGGTCTGGTGGACTTGAATGCTGGAGACCTGCTTTTTAAATTGATGAATGCCCTTGGATGAGCCTGCCCAAGCTGTGCTCTCTTATCCTCAGTTTCCCATCTGTCAAATGGGATCACAGTGATGTTCCTCACAAAGCTGTTGTGTCTGTGAAGCCTCTCTTAACACTGCCAGGTCAATATGCTTGTTCTGTTGTTGTCACATCATTATTAATTGTGGTATGTCATAAGGAAGGGGGGAATGGAGAATTGAGGTTTTGTGAAGGCCATGATGTAGGGGTCCCCAACATGGTGCCTGCCCACACCTTTACTGGCAGCTGCCAGATGTTTTTTAGAAAGTAGGTGGGGCCAGGTAGGCTTTCTGCCCAGCAAGGTTTCTGATTGATCACTGGAAATCTGATTGGCTGTGCAGATTTAAAAAGAAAACACTCTTTTGGCAGCAGCTGCAAAAGCAGCATGAGGATCTTCACTGCCTGACTAAAGATAAGCTATGTGCATGCAAGAAAATGTTTTTAAACAATATGTTCATTTTAAGAGGCATCCCAAAGCAGAGTTTCTGCCTGAGATGTTGAAGAGTTGCTATTACAGTTAGGCATGAGCTCACTCCATGACGTTTTGTTGCTGACTCTGCTTCCTGCAGCAGCCATTTTGTGGTTGCACTAGGGTTGCCAGGTCCCTCCTGGCAACCA